TGTCAGCATGAAAAAAATCGAAAAATATATAAAGTGATGTATAAGTATCGTTACTCAATATTACTAATATTTCAATTATTAACTAATAAAGTTTATATATTAAGGGTTTTATAATTCTTATATTACATGAGAAGAGAATTCTTATGTCATTGAAATAAAAATTCATATGAAATCTATATGATAAAAAAAGTCAATGATTGAGATTCATGTTAGTACAAAAATCAAAAGTGTGTAAGAAATTTTTCTTTCTCATGTTACCTAAGAATTATAAAACTCATGAATTAACTACTTAGGGGACGTTTGATACGCGTTATTCTTTAGGATTCCTGAGAAACTGAATTTTTTTAAAATTTTAATTTTCGGATATTATCATAAACTGAATTTTTTTATCATATTTTTGAAAATCGAGATTTCCGGATAATTTTTTTTTTCTTTTCTACCAAACGCCCCTTGAGATATATATAAATTGAGTAGCAAGTTAATAATTCTTTCATAAAAACGAAAACACGTAACTTGTTTAATACATTTTATTAACTAATGAATAAGATATCATTAACTAAAGTAGAATAATATAAAAATATAATGTACAAATGATAGAACTGTTTGCCAATATATTCGAATGATTGATTTTTTTATTTCCTTGCCTTTTTTTGTGATATAATTTTTAAAGAAACTAAGTCATTTTGGTGTATTTTGTCATTCTCTCTGCTTCACTTTTTTTATATTCCTAATTTTATAAAAAAGAAAAATTGAAAAAACACATCAAAACGATATAATTTTATTAAAAATGATAAAAAGTTATGACATTTAAAATGAGAAATATTTTTTTCAAAAATTAAATAAGAGGTATTGAGTGAAATTAAATATTTACTTGTTTTATATTGAGTAGCAAGTTAATATACAAATTGAGTAGCAAGTTAATAGTTCTTTCTTAAAAACGAAAACACGTAACTTGTTTAATACATTTTATTAAGGGGAAGGTTATACTTACAACCTATTTTCTTTACAATCTCTTACAACCATATATCTTAACCGTTGATTTTCGTCAATCAACGGTTAAGATTTTCGCAAATTAAATTTATTAATTAAATATTAAATTACAATAAATGATAACCGTTGATTGACGGAAATCAACGGTTAAGATATATGGTTGAAAGAGGTTGTAAAGAAAATATGTTATAAGTATAACCTTCCCCTTTTATTAACTAATGAATAAGATATCATTAACTAAAGTAGAGTAGTATATAAATATAGGGGTTTGTATTTGCCATTTAACATAACACAACAAACTTTTCTACACACACATTTTGTGGAGTCCACACTTTTTGAAGGAAAAAAAATTATGACACACTAAACGAATCTCTATAACATTACACAATCACTTTTCTTGCAACATAACTCTTATAAAACTCATAAATATAATCTACAAATGATATAACTGTTTGCCAATATATTCGAATTATTGATTTTTTAATTCCTTGCCTTTTCTCGTGATATAACTTTTAAAGAAACTAAGTCATTTTGGCATATTTTGGCATTTTCTTTCCTTCATTTTTTGTATCTTCCTAATTTTATAAAAAAGAAAAATTAAAAAACACACCAAAATGACGATGTTAAAAATGATACAAAATTGTATCATTTAAAATAGTAAATATTTTTTTCAAAAATTAAATAAGAAGTATTGAATGAAATTAAATATTTACTTGTTTTATATTGAGTAAATAATTTAAAAAATTTATTAACTTATTTCATATAAATTATGATAAGTTTAAAAACAATTTTGTTTTTTAAAACAAAAAAAAGGGTCCCCATGGAAGCTATTTCGGGGCCAACTGACAAATGCCTTACCTTTTTACGCATCGTCCTGACAGCGCGTCCCTTATACAGTCTTTGTTCCCCGATATGAAACTTGCAGGTACAATTTTCATAATTTGACTTTTTGAAATTGAAACTTAATTTCAAAAATACAAAATTATAGTTAATAAATAATTATTACATAATAGAATACGACAAAAATATTTATTCTTTTAAAGGAGATAACATCATGTTCTTTTAATTGAAATATCGTGTTTCACTATAATATTTAATTATTATTTTTGAAAAATGATAAAGAAAAAATAATTGATTAAATATTAAATGAAACAGTTTTATAAAAAAATAACGTAATATTATATTCTTTAAAAGAATATATATATATATATATATATATATATATATATATATATATATATATATATATAAGAAGGTTATACTTACAATCTTTTTTTTTACAATCTTTTACAATCATATCTTAACACCGTTGATTTCCGTCAATCAACAGTGTTAAGATATGGTTTGTAAAAGGTTGTAAAAAAAAATTATAAGTATAACCTTCCTCTATAAATATATATATCGTTTCTCAAGCTGCTTGAGATAATCTTATCTCCGGCTACTAAATCATAACCGTACAGAGATGGATCAATGGTGATAAAAGAAGAGAGAGAAAAATGGAATCATAACCATTCAAAGGTGAATCAATTGATATAAAGAAATAAATAAATAAAACGACGTAGTTTTAGAGTATGCAGAGATAAACTTATCTCAAACTGCTTGAGAAATATTTTTTCCATATATATATTGGGGAAAGATATTGTGACAACCAAGTTGTGTTACAACCAAGTGACTACCAATCAATCTCACCGTTAGATCGATTATGTTGATCCAACGGTTATATTTATTTCTAACTTTGTATGGTCATGATTCCCTATATTTAAAGTGAAAGCATTAAATATGGGATATCATAATCATACAAAAGTGAAAATAAATATAAAGGTTTAAATTTGGGGAATCATGACCATACAAAGATGGAAATAAATATAACCGTTGGATCAATATAATCGATCTAACGGTAAGATTGATTGGTAGTCACTTAGTAGTAACACAACTTGGTTGTCACAATATCCTTCCCCATATATATTAACTCAACATTTTTTTTCTAACATATTTCACTAACTATGAAAGAAACAAAATCCAATTCACAAATCCAACACTCATTAATTCCTCAGGGGTGAAACTGGGTCGGGCCGGCCTACGGCTCGGCCTACATCAAGTCTAACCTGACCTAGTATATTTCGTAAAATAAGTCTAACTTGGGCCTTGAAAAAACTTGTGTAATAAACACGCCGTAGGCCCACTTTCACAAGGCCTGACCTATAAGCCAACAAGTCTTCCTATATTGTACTATTTATTTTAAATAAAATAAAATAGAATAAGTATGCCTTGAAGAAAAAATAAAAAATATAAATTTAATCAATTACAATTATTTATAACTCAATTATATTTTATTATATTTTAATAGAAATCTGACTTTATTTCTTATGTAGGAGGAACCAATATCTCAACATGTTAGATTGTGTATATAAATATATTAAAAGATTTTTGGGAGATGTTATATACTTACTACAAGCATCATGATGTATTTGTTGGATTCATGTAGTTATTTTAACTTACATAGTATGAATTTGTTTGTTGGATCTGATGAAATTTATGTTATTTAGTTTGAGCACTTTGCTTTTGAAAGTGACTTAAATGCAGATTGTGATGAGTTTTGTTGTGATTCATGATTCTATTATAACGTTGAAATTGTGAATTTTGGTTTAGCAACAGAATTTGAGTATTTTGTGAAGTTGATTCATAGTTCTGTTTGGAAGTTAAAAATTAACAGGCTAACGGACTAGGCCAGGCCATTTATTTTTTGATGAATGGGCCAAGTCAGGCTAACAGTAAAACCTGTACTAGGCTTGGGCCAGACTAAATTAAAATTTTTGACATAGACTTGGGCTTTTTGAGACAAAGCTTGATCCAGCCCAGCCCACTTTCACCCTACTCAATACTATGTGAGTCTAACCATCACAAAAGCCAAGAACTAGATAGTGCAGTCTATATTGTCTTTGTCAGAATTGACTTAAGAAAAACAAAAACAAAATTGAAATGGTTATGTTATTTTAGAAATTAACTTTCTCAAAATTTTGATTATTATATAGAAGTAAGAGTTTATTATGCTTGGGCTTTATGTTATGGTTAATATATATTTTTTGTCATTTCAAAATTCCGTAAGATAATTAAAAAAATCAAATCTATTTGTCAATTACTAAAGAAAATTAGTGGCGCAATAATGATTTATGTATGTGACATAATATTTCATCAACTTAATATATTATAAAGGGAAAAACATCTATGCTTTTAAAGGATATAACCTTATATCATTTTAGATCATAACTGTTGATTTCCGTCCATCAATGATTATAATCTATTGGGTCAAACTTAATGGGTCAAATTTAATATTAATTAATTAATAATTTTGATCCAATAAATTATAACCGTAGATGGACGGAAATCAACGGTTAGGATCTAAAATGATATAAGCTTATATCTTTTAAAATGACAGATGTTATTTCCTATTATAAATCAATCAGCGATTTTAATTTATTTAAATTTTATAAGATAAACAAATAAATATAAATAATATATTTAATAAAGATAATAATATAATTTTAAGCATATTAAAGTTATTAATAAGTCTATTAAGATATTTCACCTAAGAAAATGGCATGCACGTATATATTATATATTTTGGTGGCTAACTTTTAATATTATATGATGATGAACTAACGGAAAATCTATGAAAGCTGGAAAATTTCAAAAAAGAAATTAAAAAAAAAAAAAGCTAAACTGAACTGAATTGAACCATATTTATTTTTAGTAGTGTAAAAAAATTAAATCAACCAAACTGAATTGCAAACCAGATTGGTTAAATATCCAAATTACTTTTTAAAACTGGTTTAGTTTGCTTGAACCGAATCACTTTTTTAATTTGGCATAGAAAATGGAACCAAACTTAAATGTGGACACTTCTAAATTTAAGCCCTCTCGTAATTAATAATTTCGTATTTTTGACTAGCTTGCTTTCAAAAGAGAGAGTAATATTGAAACCCTTCATTGCCACGCCTTTCTATCTTCTGTCTACCATTGTGGTCCATCCTAAGTCCTAACCGAGGGAAGCCCTCAAGCCCATATAAGACACACGAATTTTGGCGATAGAATAATTGAAAGGAAGAGACACGAAAGTGAAGCCAGACATGGATTGGACTAAGAGCACAAGAACCTTTGATCCTCTAGCAGAGTCTTCCTTAAGCTTCCTCTACAACTATAACAACAACCCATATCCAGGTAACAGAACAAGAAAAACACTAGTCTTCAAAGGATTAATTTGACCTTTTTCATCGAATGTCAAGTTGCATTTCTTTTCTTATTCTTCATAGTTTACAATTTTGGAAACAATTAGCTTCCGTGTGTGTGTGTGAGAGAGAGAGAGAGAGTGACTTCCTTAGCAGCCAGTCTATAATTGATTAACCACTTTAAATGGTTGACTATTTATAGAGTCTTGCACATGAATAGTAACTTGAATCCCCAGCAAACTGTCCCAGTTTCTTTCTTTCTTTTTTGAACAGTACATACATAATAGGCAACCTTGAAAAGGCATATATTTTGAAATTGCACTTGATATTTCAGCTAAGAAAACATCCACAATATATATACTTTAAAAAATGTGATTCCAAAGCTAACTAAACGGTCAAGGATTTGCTTTGGTCGAGGGTTCAAATTTTGGCTAAAGCAAATTCTTAGAATTCTTTGGTTGTGAGAGGGGAATTGCCTTTCCTCCGAATGAGAAATAGTCTCATCTTTTTTTGTGACAGTGGTATCTCCGGGTTATCTACCTAAAATAAAAAAAAAATTGTGATTCCTGTTTTAGACACCAAGTCTCTAACACTGATGTATATGTTAAGGAATGGAAGTGAAACAACAGGCATTGGCCGAGACATCACAAATGTTGCACCCCACAATGGACAAAATGAACCGTGGAAACCGGGAGAAGAAGAAGCGGTTAACAAGTAACCAGAGTGAGTTACTGGAAAGGAGTTTCCAGGAGGATATAAAGTTGGACCCTGAAAAGAAGATGAAGCTTTCAAGGGATCTAGGGCTCCACCCTCGCCAGATTGCTGTTTGGTTCCAAAATAGACGTACAAGGTGGAAGACCAAGCAGCTTGAACACTTGTACGATGTTCTTAAACAGGAATTTTGCCTCATCTCGAAAGAAAACCAAAAGCTTCAAGAAGAGGTTGGTTGGAATATAACATTAATTACACATGTCTCTCTCTCTCTCTCTGTGTGTGTTTGTTTGTCTTATAACTAACATTTCATTAAGTATTGTTTATGCTTTAATTTGTTTGTCTCAACTTGAAGTTAGTTTATTTCCCGAATTGGGTTGATTCCTGTAGCTGATATATATGGCCTGAGCAGGTTATAAATTTGAAGGCAAGGCTCGGAGAGCAAGCTTTTAGGACGCAAACATTTGCTGGTTACACAGAAATCTCTGCGGAAGAAACAGTAGAAAGCACGTCAGAGGCGCTACGTGGTTCCAACAAGCCACAGGAAACGAGTAACTTTGAGAAGGTTGAAGAGGGTTACTGTTCTTTTACTGTGGAGGATTATAACACTGTCTCACTGCCTCTCTGCCACTGGTCAATTGTGCCTCATTATCCCTAATCTACAATGGGTTTAGGGATTTAGGGATAGCCCTTTAGGAACTGGCATTAAGATCCACGCAGACCTGTCTGGATGTTAATTAGGACTCATAAAAAACAGCTATTCGGCGACGTGCATTAGGTAGTTGGTAGTTTCCATTAAGTTGCAGAGTGTGTTATTTCTTACTACTTTTAGATAAGAAAACAATGATTGCACACTATATATTTTACAATTTTCTTTGGTTTAACGTTTCTCTCGTAAAGTTATTTTCTGCAATTTTAAAAATAAAGTGTTTGGGTTACACGAAATAAGTTTATATAAACACTTTTTCCATTTTCTTTACACCACATTGTTTGCAGAAAAGAAATATGTCCTAGGATGTTTTTTTTTTTTATTACATAACAAAAAGTGGTATAAGGACAATGTAATAAAAATGATGCGCTAATATCATTGATTAAGATATAAGTCATTGTAATTAGTAAGAATTTTAATTTTAATGATTATTGCGGGCGTAGCTAAATAAAAAGAGAGTCAAGGTGAGTTGTAAGTGGGAGCTAGCAATTTAGTCATCAAAACGGCTCTGCACGAGTAAGTTCAAAATGATCCAACATGATATTGTTCATTTTAGTGGTAAGAAATGACTTACCTACCTCAACTCATTTACATTAGTCGGATAAACAACTTGACACATCTAAATGAAAAGAATATAAAATCTTTAAAAGCGCATCTTACAGTATCGAAGGGATGAAAAGATTTCTTTCATTCTGATGAAAACTGATAAAATGAAAAGTAAGTCAAATGTACAAAGTGCCCTCCAATATGTATTAGGCACGTAAGCTAAAACAGAAAGCTAAAGAAAAAAAAAGGAACGCCCACATGGCAAGCCTAACAAAAATAACTAATAACTGCTTTCTAACTTACTGCATCTAATCACTGATAACAAGCAACAATACTGGCATCAAAAAAATCACACTGGCAATGGGCTCTGCTAGGGTTTCTGGGGGACTCGATATTTCAGAGAGCAATGCTGGAGATTTTCAATCAAAGGAAGATGATGATTTACTGAAGAGAAGTATAGAAAGACCAAAGGAAGCTGTACCGAACGTGGTAGCCATGGCAGTAGAGGGCGAGAAAGATGTCGGTATAGAAGAGGCTATGGGGTCACCGGAGAAAGAGGTTACCAAAGGGACCAGAAAGATGATATCTTACAAAGATACACTCCTCCAGTTCAATGGAGCTAGTAGAGAAAACGAAGAAGAAGAGCACTGGATGGCTCAACTGAGAAGGGAAGAAGAAGAAGCTGACTTCGTGGATGAAGGGGACAACATAGAAGAGGAGGATCCTTTCTGTCCATCTCTCAAAATCCCAAAAGAGGTTCATCTCGAAGCTTGCAAAAAGTGGAGGAAGGCACTGATAGTGAAGTTGCTAGGAAAAAGACTGAATGTCAAATTTCTACTAGGCAGGTTGCTGAAGATGTGGAGTATCTCAGGGAGATATGAGTTTATAGACCTGGAAAATGATTTCTTTCTGTTCAAATTCCAGGATGAGAAAGATTACACTCACGTGCTTGAGGATGGTCCCTGGATCATTGCTGATCACTATGTAACAGTTCAAAGGTGGAGACCTATGTTTGATCCATTCGACGTAACCATGAGAAAACTTGCTATTTGGATTAGAGTACCGGGTCTCCCGCTTGAATATTACACATCCCACATTCTGTGGAAAATTGGAAATATGTTTGGGCGAACCATAAAACTGGATAAAAACTCCATAAGCAAGCCAGAATCCAACGTGGAAGAAGTTACTGAAAGAGCAAAGTTTGCTCGTATCTGCGTGGAAGTGGATTTATCTAAGAAGTTTCTATCGAAGTTCAAAGTAGGAAGCAAAATTTTTCATGTCGCTTATGAAGGCCTGCATCTGATATGCTTTGGATGCGGAGGGTATGGCCACAGAAAGGATCTCTGTCCGGAAAGACAAGACATGGTTAATGCAAATAGCAGCAAGATAAATTTGGAAAAGGAACCTGGAGGAATCAGTGCCAGCAAAGGAAAGTCCATATCATCTGAACCATTCGGAGAATGGATGATAGTCCAACGGCCGGTAAGAGGAAGGAAAACTAAAGAAGTCCAGCCGAAACGGGAAGGAGTCGATATGAAGCAGATGATGAACAGTACCAGAGCTGATAAAGCTAAACCTAAAGGTAACAGCGACAAATCCTTGATTCAAGCAGCCAAACCTGGTGGCTCGCGGTTCGAGATCATTAGAGAGACAGTAGAGGGAGATGTGAACAGTAAACATCCACTGTTTCAGATAGCCAAAGCGGGGGGCTCGCAGTTCGAAATCACCAGAGGAACAAAAGGAAAAGAAGTGAACAGAGGTCAACCTCTGACTCAGACAGCCATAGCTGATGGCTCGCGGCTCGAAGCAATCAGGGAGACAGAGGAGGTAGGTTCGGTGACGGATATGATTTCTGAGGGAGTTTCAGAATTGATAGGTGAAGTGGTGGGGCCCTCCACAGTGGAAGTCAATCAACTGGAGACCAAACCAAACTTGCGGGTCCAGTGCTTGGACAAAGAAAGAATTCCAAATTATAGAAGCCCAAAACCTAAGAGAATTGGGCCCACTAAGCTCAGGCCTGGAAAAAACATCAGTAAACCTACTCAAAAGCCCAACTTTATACCGAAGAAACCAATGAACGTAGCGAAATTTCCAAGGCAGTCCAGGTCAATGGAAAACGTCAATGGAAGTTCTTCGGATTCTAAAGAGGAGATAAAGGTCACCATGTCAAGCGTTGAAGCCAAGGAGAACATCAACCCTCAAGGGAAATTTCCAGACGCCCTGGAATTGATGAGGAGATACTCCCAGACACCTGAAGGGAAGGAACTAGATGCCAACTTGTTTTCCCTGGATGGCATGAAGGTCTTTACAGAGATCATGAAGTAACCAATCAGGGTTTTGGAGGTTCGTTCGCCTTTATCCTTATCAGTTTTTATGATAGTGTGCAGCTGGAATGTCAGGGGTGCAGGTAAGAAAGGCCTGACCCCCCTTATTCAAGATATGACTAAAAAATTCAAAATTAATGTCTTGTGCCTGTTGGAAACAAGGATTAGCGGTGTCTTAGCAAAGAGGTGCATCTCTAATCTGGGTTTCAATAACCATTTCATCCAAGAAGCGGTTGGTTTCTCAGGAGGCCTGTGGTTGCTTTGGAATAATGAGGAGGTGGATGTTAGAATCATTTCTGCTCACCATCAGTTTCTGCATACGGCTTTGGTGTGGAAAGAAACCAGGAAGGAAGAGCTGATAACCTTTATTTATGCGAGCCCAAGGTGCACTGAAAGAAGAGTCCTTTGGGAGAACATTAGAGATCTGAGCATTAGTAACTCTGATGCGTGGATAACTATGGGGGACTTTAACGCTTACCTCAGGGCGGAGGAGAAGACTGGGGGCCTTGATCCTCACTGGACCTCAATGAGAGACTTCCAGAATTGCCTAGATGACTGTGACCTTTCAGACATTGGGTTCAAAGGGCCAAGATTTACTTGGAAGAGGGGGAAGCTGTTTGAAAGACTTGACAGAGCCTGTAGCAACGAGAACTGGAACATGAGATTTCCTAATAGATTTCTCTCCCATCTTCCTTTCTATAGCTCTGATCATCGTCCTATTATCCTGTTCAACGGGACCCCTTCTAGGTGCACTAATAGTACTAGACCCTTCAGGTTCATGGCTTCTTGGTTAACCTGTGAATCATTCCCTGGTATAATGAACAGATGCTGGAAAGAGGAAGCAATCTGGGGTGAAGCTAGCGAGAAATTCAAGGTTGAAGCTTCAAAATGGCATAATGAAACTTATAAGGAAGCTAATCGTAGGAAATTCTTGCTTCATGCCAGAATTAAAGGTATTGATGAGAGACTGAATAGGTATCAGGATTCTGCACTAGAAACCAATCAGAGCAACCTATGGAGAGAGCTGAATGATATCTACCTTCGTGAGGAAATCCTGTGGTTCCAAAGATCGAGATGCAAGTGGTTAAAGTTTGGAGACAGAAACTCAAAATTCTTTCACTCCACAACAATTGCTAGACGTAGAGCTAACAGAGTTGACTCTTTGAAAGATGAGAATGGCAATTGGATAGGAGAACCTAATCTTCTAGTGAGCATGATTACTCAGTATTTTGAGAACCTATACACTGAAAAGAATACCTGCAAAGCTATCTTCCCAGTGAAAAATGCTTTTCCAACTCTTCGTAACCAAAGTCTTCAGAGGTTGGTGATGACACCGTCGGCTGAGGAGATCAAGAATGTGATATTTCAATTTGGGGGATTTAAAGCCCCAGGGGCTGATGGTCTCAATGCTATCTTCTTCCAATCCCAATGGGACAAGGTCGGCAAGGTTGTCTGTAGAGTTGTAGAGGAAGCTTTCATCAACCCAGGTAGTGTGAGTGCCATCAACCAGACACTGTTATGTCTGATCCCCAAGGTAGACTGTCCTGAATCCGTAAAACAACTGCGTCCTATCAGTCTTTGTAATGTCATATACAAGACCATCACCAAGCTAATCTCGAACAGGCTCAGGAATCATATGAACCACCTTATTATGCCTAACCAATGCAGCTTCGTGAGAGGAAGACATAGTTCGGATAATATTATAATAGCCCAGGAAATCATCCACTCAATGAGATCCAAAAAAGGTAAAAAAGGCTGGATGGCCATCAAAGTGGATCTTGAAAAAGCCTATGATAAACTGGGCTGGGATTTTATCCAAGACACACTTAAAGACATCGGACTTCCTGATCCCCTAGTTAGCATCATTATGAGTTGCGTTTCATCCTGCTCAATGAATGTTTTGTGGAATGGTGCTACTACTAGAGAGTTCAAACCTTCCAGAGGAGTTAGGCAAGGGGACCCCCTCTCCCCGTATATCTTTATTCTGTGCATTGAGAGGCTAGCTCATCTAATTAGCCTTGCTGTGGAGGAGAAAGAATGGAGACCAATTACCTTGAGGAAGAACGGGCCTCCTATTTCCCACCTCTTTTTTGCTGATGACCTACTTTTGTTTGGAGAAGCCTCACTGAAACAAGCCAAGATTATAAAGCAGATTCTCCAGTGTTTTTGCAACAGTTCTGGGCAAAGTATTAGTGTGGAGAAGACTAGGGTGCTTATGTCAAGAAACGTCAACCATAACCATGCTTTGGAATTAAGTAATGAGTTGGGCTTTGGTCTAACTAGCGACCTGGGGAAGTACCTAGGAATCAATCTCCACCAAAAAAGAGTTACTAAAGGCAGCTTCAGCCACATCATGGAGAGAGTCTACCGTAAGCTGGGATCTTGGAAAAGAAGAACGTTATCCTTAGCTGGGAGAAATGTTCTTGCTCAATCAGTTCTTTCAGCCTTACCTATGTATGCCATGCAAACCAATCTCATGCCAGTAGGCTGTTGTGATGAGATTGAGAAATTGTCTCGGAGCTTCTTGTGGAATTCAGGAAGCAATGACAGAAGTCCTCACCACGTGGCTTGGAATAGAGTGTGTACCCCGAAAGAGGCTGGTGGTCTAGGTTTTAAATCTCTGAGGGATGTAAACAAAGCCTTTTTGATGAAAATCAGCTTTGGTTTACATACAAAAAAGGAGGCCCTTTGGGTCAAGGTTCTGAAAAGCAAGTATCAAATTGGTGATGATCTCCTTCCTGTGGCTAAAACTTTCTCGAATGCTTCAAACTTGTGGAGAGGTGTGGTAAAGGTCTGGCCTGAGGTAATGGCAAACTCCAACATCATGATAGGTAATGGGGAAAAAACAAGATTCTGGCAGGACCCTTGGATCCCAAACATTGGCAGCCTGAAAGGAAAAATTCAGGAAGTTCTTCCGGATAATCTCCTGCAGGTTAAAGTCTCTGATTATGTGAAATTGGATGGAACTTGGGATTGGCAAAAAATAGGAAATGTGATCAGTCCGGAAGTAGGGAGTCTTATAGAGAGCATGATGCCAGCAATTAAGGATTTGGGAGATGACCGAGTGTGCTGGGGAGACTCTAATGATGGCTGCTTTACTGTTAAATCAGCTTACAACTTATTAAGGAACCCTTATGTTACCCGACCTAACCTCAATTGGAAGATTATCTGGAATTGGAAAGGTCTTAGCAGAATCCAAACTTTCCTTTGGTTATTGTTAGGGGATGACTTAATGACAAACCAAAGAAGGTTCATCAGGCACTTTGCAAATTCCAACCTCTGCCCTCGTTGCTTGGATCACCCTGAGAGCTCTCTTCACGCCATTAGAGACTGCATCTGGTCTCAAAAAGTGTGGAGAGCTCTAGTTGATCCCAGTCAGTGACACCTTTTCTTTGCTAAACCATTGAGAGAGTGGATAGAAGATAATATAAAAACAGATAAACATGGCCCTAGAACCAGGGACTGGTCCCTCCTTTTTGGTATATGTTGCTGGAACCTATGGATAGAAAGGAATAACTTAGTCTTCAATGGGGTGATGCCGAACATCCAGTCAAGCATTCGAAGCACTATGTGCCACTATGAAAATTACATAACAGCAAATATTTCCCTGTTAGCAGGGGGCCTTGTTCAGAAGCCTAGATCAGTTAAGATGATTAAATGGCATCCTCCTCCTTCAGGCTGGTTGAAGATCAATGTGGATGGGGCTAGCTCTAAAGGCGGCTTAAAATCTGGTTGTGGAGGTGTAATTAGAGATAGCAAAGGTGACTGGATTCTGGGCTTCTCCAAAAACCTTGGCCAAGGCAACTCCTTTAGAGCTAAGTTGTGGAGCTGTCTAACTGGGTTGACTCTTGCCTGGGATAGAGGTTTTTCAAACATTATTCTGGAAGGGGACTCAACTCAGGTGCTGGAGTTCATTGATCAGGAAGTCTTGATGGATCACCCTTTGGCTATTATTGGAAGCAAAATAAAAGAGCTCTTAAACAGAAACTGGAACTGGAAACTGAATCACACTCTTCGTGAAGGTAATTTGGTGGCTGATTGGTTGGCTCATCAAGCTTTGATGATGAAGAAGGATATGGTTATTAACCCCTCTCCCCCGCATGGCTCTAGTGTTTAAAGATAGTTTGGGTACTGAGAGACCCAGAATAGCTAGTTAGGGTCTGCTCTCTCTGTAATTTCCAAAAAAAATAAAAAAATCACACTGGTTTATATAAACTCAGTCCATAACAGCGCAACAAAAAAAATGCATATAATTATAAAAATAGATAAAAAAAATAAAGAAAATAATGCTTTGAGGACTGGTGGTGACGTGGGTCAAGGGTCAAGCTCCATCACAGCAAGGGACTTTGATTTGAGTCACGACGGCCGGCATGGGACGATGTCGGAGTGGGGAGGCTCACACAGAAGCGAGGTCGCTAATTTGAGTCACAGCTGCCTACAAGAGACAACGGCAAACTAGGGTGGCTCACAAGAAAGGGCCAACAAGAATAAATGGGGAACATCGTCGTCGACTCATTAGTAAAATTAAAATATATTATACTGGTTTATCTCGCCATACTTAATATACACCATTACAAAAGCTTTTCAGACTATATATTTTCATTTTAAAATTAGCTGCATCGTTTAGGTATGCAGAATTTTTTTGGAACGGGCACGCCTATACTTTGAAAAGCTCTAAACTCTTGCTGCAATGGCCATCGTCAGCACAAGTTGAATGAAATTTCGAATCAAATCGTACCAACCAACTCCGCCCACAAATCAAAAGCACGAAATCCATAACTAGAACATCTAAATATACCCTAACAGAGACAGTCTTAACATACAATGCAGAGGATGATTAGCTTTAAAACATAAAACTAGCACGGCTGGGAAAATCCATTCAGTAACCAACTGAAGCTCCAAATACATATTTGATAAAACAGTCAAAATAGAAGATTAATCAAGCAAATAAAATATATCAGCACAAATTTCCAAAACAACTCTATTCAAATGATAGCCAAAAACGGAACAAAAATAAAAAGGTCAGCGTTTCCCGCCTCCACCACCAAGTTTGGGACCTTTGGATACAGAACCCTTCGGGACATTGCCTTTGCCTTGAGCTTTTTGTGTCTTAGACACAACTTCAGCTTTCTTAGCCTTCTTCTCATCCTTTGTTTTCTTAATCCTCTCTTTAATTTCACTGCACAACATCGTAAATTCAGATAGATATGTTATACATTTTGTATACAAAAAATCAAAGAGCTGATAAAAAAAATTAAGATCCAGAAAATAAATATTATATGATCAATTTCCAAAAAATATATATACGGACATGTTAGAAAATGAGGAAAGCAGAAAAAGAGCTTTCAAACAGTAGGGAGAAACGAAACTCAAAAGAAAAAGACACACCGAAGAGCAGCTTCCCTAGCTGCATCTCGAACTTCTGGCTTTTCAGCTCTTTTCTTCTGGATAACTTCCAAAGTAGCACCAACAATGGATCTAGAGTAAGGCTTTTTGGCGGCACGACGCCTCTTCTTTACAGCCTCTTGAGCAATGTCCTATACATCACATGCACACAAACAATCAAGGAACATGGATGCAACCAGTGGAGGAGTTAAATTGCACAGTAACCAGTTTATATGTGGAATTACTTGGCACATGGTAAAATGAGAAGGTCAAATTCAACACAAGTAGGTGTGCAACAACATTTTCTCCTTCTAAACAAATATTATTAATGGCAATTCTGATTTTACAAGTCATGTTCAGGAGCTTTATAATGGTTCTTATTGTTTATTGTTAAATTTTAACAACCAAACATTCAATTAAATAACCACCTTCTTGTGTTGCTTCCTATACATAGCAGTCCAGGTGAGCTTTGATGGCTTCAAGCGGTTGTGGAAATATCGTTTGCATTTTGAGTTGGAAAACAGGAAGACCTGTAAAATCAGCAAACAGAAACACTCAAATCAGTAACTAATAATGAAAACTACAGAGCACACAAAACATTCAGATCTATCTAAAGCAATACATCATCCCAAATTTCAATGTGAGTACAATTTATGTCACCTGAGAATCACCACGAACAAATCTGATGCCTCTCCCGGGGTATATCTTGGCACCACTGAATCGGCAAAGTTCAGTCCTGACATGGCAATATCAAATACTAATTAGTAATTACTAGACTTATCCAGCCTATAATCTATGTTTAATTATTTCAAAAAACTTTAGAGTTAGGTCCCAGTCCCACAAATTCCTCAAAAGCTAATTTGAAAAAATAAGACATTATCAGACGTTTTTTCTGAAAAGCTAATGTTGTCTCCAAAAAATGGAAACTGCAAGCTATTAAGAGGCAATTCCAAAACAAATCTAAATTTTCGAGCAATAGGTAGCAGGATTGCAATCAAATCATTATATCAAGAAACAAAAAAGAAGAAGAAAAAAACATCACAACAATGTAAATTTTGTTACTGTTGCCTGTATGACCATTCAAAATGTTAAATATAATTACATTTTTGAAATCATGAACACATTCGATCAAATCTAAACTCTCTAGCAGCCAACTAAAATCATCTAATAATAATTACTTAACAGCAGAATATGAAAATCACATAAAAAAGCGTGGAAACCAGCAAGGAAATTGGCAAAACAAAATGCAGCAACATGTCATTCAATCAAACTCGCTAATACCAACTGTAACATCATAAGACAAAATCTCGCCATATTGATATTCAACCAAATACTATGGCAGCAAAATAAGAGGGACAAAAATAAATCAATTTCACAGACAAAAAATAAAAAAGAAAAGAAACACTAAAGTGTAGCAGAGAGTTAAACTCATGTAGTTTAATTGCAAAGCGTTTAGGTTAGCAGCTTCAACAAATCAACATAAGGCTTATTGAATTTTGAACACAGATGAGATTATCAAAGAAGAAGAAGGTGCCATGAATACGTACTTGAGGACCATGGCTGCTGTGGAGGTGGCTGCTAACCCTAAAACCCGAACGCTTTACGATACCGCTATCTATACCCTGGAAATCAAACAAGTAACCTTCTTTATTAACAAAACTACATAAACGCCACTCTTGGGCCCTGTTTTTATTTGGGCCTAACGAGAACAGCTTACTCTGAAAATGTAATTTTAATATGGGCTCCTAGAAAAGGCCCATATGATACGGGAAAGGGAGGAAAAAAATGGGAGAGACAACAATATTACGGATTGGACTTTGCTTTCGGCCAAGCCTTTTAAAAGATTCTTTAGTCCGAAACAAAAGATTAAATGAGAAAAATATTTATTCTTTTAAATAATATAATTTATGGCATTTTATTCTTGCAGGCGAGACTCACATCTTTATTTTTATTTTTTATCCACTCTCTCTCACATGGTCTATCTATTTCTTTCACTTAAAATAACACAATTTTACATCTTTTATAATGACACACACTTTTTTCTTCTTTATATAACGGAATTCTATTAATGTGCGGCTTGTGAAAAATACAAAACTTAAAAATAAAGTTTTTTTTATTTTTTTATTTTTTTGGTAAATGAAAAATAATAATAAAGTATTTAACTTTTGGAAAAAAATCTAAGATATTAAATATCTATGCTTTATATCTTGAATGTCTTGCCCTTCCAATAAATATACACGGGTTACGGGTCAAGCCCTCGTGTATGCATCTAATACTCTCCACTACACTCTCCTCATATCATTAATTTGAGCATGAAGCCCTTGTAGATACATCATTCACTTTTTTCGGTTGATCACCGCCAACGTTTTATATGCTTAATATATATATGTTGTGTTGTTGAGCTTGTAGCTGGAGGAAGGAGTTTCTAACAATTTCACTGATGGAGATTAATCGCGTTTATCACATGATCGAGAAAGATTTAATAGTGCATTAATTGACCTTTCGCTTTAAAGCTTTGTACTACTCTTTGATTAACTTTTATGAAAAAGGTCAGATTAAGTTATTTGAGTCTACAATAATTGAATGATTAGCTTTTTTGTATTAATGCGCTGATATGTGCATAGTATTTTTTAAACAGGCGTGCAATCATGAAAACATATTTCTATTCGAGTTTTCCTATAATTTGATTGAATGAAAGCGAACAAATATACAACTTTATTGATAATAATGATTAAGCATATTAAAATTAAAAATCTAAGATAATTGAAATAAAATATGTCTTATTAAATTATGATTCAATGGATTAATTAATCAATTACGTATTGGTCTATAACTGTATTTTTATATTTACAAAGCAATCAAACATTTTTTTTTGGTAGATAAGCAATCAAACATTTAAAAACTAAACAAAATATTAAGATTAACTTAGATCAAGTCAAATATGTGACATGCATTTGGTTAAGTCATAAATGTAATATAATTAAGCTCGAAAAAAGTTTACCTATATCATTGTTATTAAATGGATTAATAATCGACTCAGGTCAAATTATTGAATTACTGATTCAACTAATAAATTATTGATTGAAATAATTAAATTATATATATATATATATATATATATATATATAATTGATGTGATACCATTGATCTTTTTTTATCTAACGGCTCTCAGATGAAGTGTCAAATTTCAAATTAAATTTGACACTGGTGTCAAAGGATCCTACCTATATATATATATATATATATATATATATATATATATATATATATATATATATATATATATTGAAATTTATAGTAAATATAATAATAATTATAAATATTACATAACGGTGAATGTTATATATACTTTTCCTGATAAGTGGGAACACACATGAAATTGTCTTAAAAAAATTTACACAAAATTGTAAGTATGAGTTGAACCCAAAAACCTATGACTGTTTAATGTGAGTTCAACTCTTACAGACAGCAGTGAATTCTCTAGATCGGACCTAGACTACGAGAGTTTTTTCTGTTCAAACATCCCTCTCAAAAATGGATAAAAAGGGAGGACTCAAAGAGGAATAGCAGAAAATATTTGGATTCAAATAATTTTTTTTCCCTTATTTAGGAAAGAGGAGCATTGACTTGTATACTTCCTAGCATCAATTTTTTTTTCCTAGACTACCCTTCACCGTCAGCCTTTTTAAATGTACCACGGTAAAAGTGACATAATCCAATCTCAGTTAATTATACAGTTTTCTTTCAGATTACTACTTTTTAAAATTTTCTACAAAGTCCTATTAATATTTTTTACAACTTTGAATACAATTTGACTTTATAACAAGTAGGTTTATGTAGCAATAAGGTTTTAGGCATAGCTGTTTTTTTTGGTCAAATTATTGAAATTATAATTGGGCAAGCCATGTGGAAGGAAAACTCGGGAGACCTCATGAGAATATGTGACGCCAAAGAAAAATGAACCATGTTTGCCATCAGCCACACGATCTCTTTATTTGTTGTGAAGCTCTTTGCACCAGAAGATTCTTACCACATATTCAAAATAAACCTTAACGAATAAAAGAAAATTCCAAGCACATATTCACCGTATACCTTAAGTACACAAATACAAGGAAACCAATCATCTCGCTTCCAAGCTTCCTAAATTTCTGTTAATTCAATTTATTGGTAGAAGCCAAACAAAACCGTGATTCGGACAAGGATGTATTTTTCTTAATCTTTTTCTGGCAGTCAGGTAATAGGTTCAACAAAATTAATCGCATAATCAAACTAAAGTCGCGCATAAAATATTCGATCAACCGGCCCTTTTCTTCAATTCTTAGCTAGTTCATTCCCAACGTCCAAAGAGTAAAGTCTAATCATACAGAACAGATTCATCTTTTCAGTTCTTAACTAGTTATATTTGCGTATTATTATATGTCCAAAATTTTGTATGTGAATAGATGAATTGACGGTTGAATGTGTGGTAGAAGTTAATTAACCATTGAACTACAAGAGAATAACAAAAGAAGAACAATCAAATGATAACTGCAATGAGAAAATTGTTAGCTAACACTCAACCAAAACAGATTTTCTCAATGGGGGAGGGAAATCAAGCCTTGTTTATTACATGGAGAAAAGGATCTTCCTTGGGGTCAACTAGGCATTGACCAACATTCCTAAACGCTGTTGTCCTACCCTGAATTCACTAGCTTTTTCACACTGACAATGGATTTGAATGAATACCAACATAAAAAATTTTAAATGAAAAATCAAACAATTGATGCACTGCAATGAGAAGTGTTAGCCAGTAGCTAACACTTATGACTCAAACACAAACGGTGCTTCACAAAGGGGTGAGCAAGCTAGCCTTATTTATTATTTGGAGAAAAAGGATCATCATGTTGGTCAACTAGGCATTGACCAACATTCATGAACGCTGCTGTTGTCCTACCCTGAATTTACAAGCTTTTTTCACACTGACTCCGGAGTATTCCCTTTGTTTGCTACCCACTGCACACTTCAGAAATCATTGACTGCTACAAAAGCCTAAAAATCCCATAAACTCGTGGTTTTGGATCATTCGAATGCTCTTCTCAATGCCCACGACACCTGAAAGAAAAAGGGTCAAAATTTGCTACTTCTGTGCATTACACTAAAACTTAAGTGAAGAAACCATTATATATAGATCAGTAATTGTCGCTTATTTGCTTTACCCATGGTGAGAGCGCTAGCAAAAATGACCCCTGAGAGGATGAATACAATGATTGAGGCCCTTTTAAGAATTGCCATTAATTTTCTTACTAAGAACTGTCCCCAGAAGCCAGCCAAAACGGACACTGTGGTGAGGTATAACGCTGCAAAAGAAATACAACGACAACAATAAGCTACAGATGTTTTCATATGATCAGAACACAACAGATCAGATTACTATATTTTACTATTTTAAAATTTGTTCTTTCACTGAATATGGTGAAATTGTAGACGTAGCCAGAGTACTGAAGTGGAAGGTGAGAGAGAAATGACTGTGTTTATATGAATAGGATATACTATAAACCATGATATAGTACTAGTAGTCATCTATTAACAATTTCCACACAGTCATCTCATTTTCACTCTTACAAGGCACAGAGTGAGAATTAAAAGGCCAGGCAAATTGAAACGAGATCTAAGCACGAGGAGTTGATGAAAACTACCGTAAGGAATGGGGAACCTCTTGAGAAGGTAGAATTCTACCACAGACAGAGATGATGAAAACATCATCACAAATGTTGCTGTTGCACTAGCAACCTGCAATTTAAAACAAACCACATCCTTGAAGGTTAAATTTCTTGAAATTTCAGCATCAAATCAAACTGTGTGGCGCAGTTGAAAGGGTATATATACTCTACCTGGGGGATGACACCAATCTCTATGAGAAGAGGGCCCAAAATGAACCCACCTCCACAACCAAGTAGGCCTCCAACAGTTCCCCCTAAGATACCACATAATGCACAAAATATAATGTGTAAAGCAGTCCATTCAATTGAAGCCTCGCAGATGGATTCCTGGTTTCCTGTGCCCATCCTCTTTTTGTGATCCTTGTATAATTTCACTGCTTCATAGCCAAACACCACAAGTGCTATAGGAAACTGAAACAGTAAGAAGAAAGGTGCAATCATGGCAATAAGTACTGACCCCACTGCATAATAAGTTAAGCAACAAGTTGTGCTTATGTAATTGCTGCTATCATCATACCTGTAAGGAGAAAAGCACCCAATACCATACACCGCAAACCTCTACATTATTCTGCAGACCAACACAAAATAGATTTAAAACAAAAAAACAAAAATTGAACAGACTTGTGATGTGGATAGGGGAGAGAAAGGGGCTTGCCTTGATAACTTGAAGTAGTAGGAAAGAAACCCACACAACCATTAGCATCAAAATCCCTTTCCACTTAAGGTTGAAGCAAAGAATTTGCTGAAGGGTTCAACAAACAAATAAACAAAAAGTCAGTTTCCTACTCACCTACAACGAAATGAAAAAAATTTAAGTGGATGCGAGATTTGCATACCATAGGTGACTTCTCTTCTCTAGGAATCAAAGGCTCATATTCTGTGTCGATTAAAACTGCATATTTGTGGAAACAGTTACTATCACTCGAAACACAATCAAAGAAACAAAATCATATGAAAAAACTACATATACACAGGGTACGCTTTACAGAAAATAAATTGTTCTTATTTCCAAATTTTCATTTATTGATTAAATCTTACGTTCTCCACGAGAATTGACAATAGTCGCTTGTTGCTTGGCCATTTCTTTCTGCAATTAGCGAACGAAAAATCAGAGAGATAAAGCTAACGAGTTTGCTTCTGTTAAATTATTCTGTTGATGGCTTATAAGAATATTAACTAGTCTTAAGTCGTGAAACTTTTACCTTGAGAAGAGTCTCTTCCTTCCACATCTCGGTTGCCTTAAAGAAAGACCTTGAGGAGGTTCCTGTCCAAAAACAACAATAATTAAAAAAACTTATATCAACTAAGAAGTAAGAAGTTATTCATTTAAAGCATAAATGGTTTGGTTTAGCACTAAACTTTTATGTTAACAGTGATGACAGACCTATGAAAAGAATAATGATGAGGACAGTGATGAGCCAGTAAGGGAAAACAACACTGAGGGCGACACCAACAGTGATACCAAGCATGAGCATAGGCTGAAAAATAAGAGCCAGATCGTAGTCTAATATAGGAACCTCTTTCGTTGGATGACGCACTCTAAGGTTATACCAAACCGAAGATGCTGACCCACCCATTATCATACCTGGATGAAGTCAACAACACCAAACTCAATTACAAGAAAGAGATAAAGCAACAACAACTTCCCTGTTGTTAATGGATTAGTAAAAGCAAAAAGCATGGGGGTTGCAACATGCAGAAACATCATGACCAAGAAAAGAGAGAGAGAGAGAGAGAGAGAATTACATTTAGAAAGAGCAGCAGCAGACTTGGTATCAAAACCAAGAATAAGAGTAAGCATTGGAACGAAAATGCCACCACCACCAACCCCACCAACGGTTCCAAAAGCAGATCCCAGAAAGCCAATCACAGTAGCCAAGGCAAGTCTCCAACTAAACTCCAATTCCTGCAACCCCCACCAACAAAGCAAGTATTAATCTTTTCACCGCATCAACGATTCGTTCATGATAAAGTACCTGAATATGGACGTGCGACATACGGGCCAAACTTTATCGGTTCCGGATCCATAACGAAGGGAATTGGGAGAGGGTGATGATAGTGACGAAAGAGATGGTTTGTGGTCATGGGTTTGGGTGAGGAACACCGCAGACAGAACAGCAACAGAGAAACCGGATACGAGGTAGACGATGAATCCTTTGGTGGACATGGACATGGACATGGCGGCCAATTGATTAATTTTGAGGAAGCAAATAACAAAATGGAAAGAAAAACGTTAAGAGAGAGAGAGAGAGTCACGTTTGGGCATGTGTATTTAAGTTGTCCTGCTCCACAGACCACAAGGACGAATATTCTAATAAAATTGTAAGTTGAAAAGGAAATTATAAATTATATATTTTGATAAATATATAATTATAACATTAAAGTTTTTTTTTTGTTGTTGAGAAAACATGTCAAGTTGATGTATTATATTTCCATTGGTGAGATAAGATGCACATAGGACTAATTAATTAGGTTATAATTCTAATTTAAAATATATATTTGATTATATTCTAAATTATGAAAATATTAATAAAAGATAGATTAAATAAAAATATTATTAAATCCGCAATATTTTATTTTCATTAGTTACCCCAATTTCTTTCATTTCCCTATGAGCTTTGACAATATTACTGGAGTACTGAAGATTTGTTACTAAATAAGGCGAAGGAGCTGAGAACCATAATAATACGAAAATCATTAGTTTTTTTTTTTTTTGGATACAACGAAAATCATTAGTTTGTCTGACAAAAACTATCGTGTTGGAAAAAACAATTTCAATATTATAAAATGAGGCTACAATAAATTTTTGGTGCTACTGTTACACCAAAGATTCTACATCCCACTAATAGATTTATTATATGTCAACTAAAGTTTTTTTTTCTGTTAAATTTTTTCTCTCTCCTATGATATGTAAAACTCACATTAATAGAATGCACTCAATCTTGAAACAACAATAACACCAAAGATTTATTCAACTCGTGTAATGCATGTGTATGTGTATGTAACTTTGCAATTTATTTTTATAAAGTATACTCACTTTGAGAAATCAAAATTCAAAAAGAAATTTATTTACAATAAACAATTATTCCATGCACCCCTATTTTTAAATTTAAATAAAATTTAAAAAGTATAAATTAATAAGTAATTATTACAGTTAACAGATAATTAACAACAAAAGTTAACGGTATAATTAGTTTCATGCTTTTAGTTTACATCGTTTATATAACATTTCTCTTTTATTTTTTTCAAATTAATTTATTGATTATTCGACTCATTATTTAAGGGGGAAAAGGGATCTCCGGGACAAAAGTAAAAATAATTTTTAAAACGCTAATATTTTCTCCCTTTTTCCTGCATACGTGTTTTGTAAATCTAACAATATAACTTTCTAATTCTCTTGTGTGTATTCAATACAGAGAAAATATTAAAAATAAATTCATAAAACATGGAGAAATTAAACAAACAAAATATAATATCAGTTAAAATTTATGAAAATTTTCAACGTGGAATTTTAGGTAATTAATAATTTGGCACCTTAAAGGTCATAAGAATAAAATTTTAGTAAAGTTTTCAGTTAATTCGATAAAAAAAAAATAATTTTGACATTTAATTAGTTGCAAACTTTTATTTTTGGGTAGACAGTTAGTTTCAAACTCTAACACGTATATAAACATGTGTTTTTTTTGTATAACATAAAGATATTCACATTCAACCTTCTCATGTCATCTTTTGTCCTGGAAGTATGGCTCCCAAAGTTATCCTTTATTGGACACATGTTCCTTTTTTTCTTCAAATATCTTTAAATTTGCAATACTCAAAAGGAAAAAAATAAAAATAAAAAATTAATTCCTAGAATTTTTATCTAGTTGAGTTTCGGTTCATGTAGCTTTTGTACTTAGATGTTGACCCTTTTATTTGTAATCATTTTAGTTTTAATTCATTTTAGAAAGATCAGTCATTAATATAATATATATATATATATATATATATATATATATATATATATATGAGTTGATATCTTAGCAATAAAAAAGAAAAACTCAAATAATAAAAATATGAAAATTAATATCTGCAAAATATATACAACAGAACCAAAACAAAAATAGGTAACTACAATGACTAAAATCTTATTCAAATAAAAATAAATAGTAAAATGATGGGGCGAAATAAAGTTTACAAGTTTAAAAACAGTTTGCGAAGTTTGTAACAATGTTATGGATGAATTAATGGGCTATAAATACGTCTCTTTAGATTTGACACTCATGTAAAAAAAATTCTTTTATATTCAACCTTAATTATGCATCAAATAATTTTAATTTATTAATCATGTGAATTATTAATTTCAAATAAAATTAACAATTAAATTTGAATATAAAATTTATTACTCTCACACTAAATTTAAAATTAAATTTTGGATAAAAGTAGCGGTCGGATAAAAATTTTATAAAGGAAATCATGATTCAATTTGTGTAACATTTTCTAATGTAATTCCTAAATTTTATGTTAAGTTTAATTCGCTTTTTTTCCCTTCGAAAATTATCTCACATTAACCTTCTACTTTCTTAGCATTGAGAACTACATGAATAGAATTAGAATTTGAACTTATTTTTTAAATAAAAAAATGAAAAACATAAAATAGAGTAAGGACCCGTTTGGATAGGTTCTAAAAAAAATGATTTTTATGCATATTTCTTTTAGAAGTTTTTTTTACTAAAGGTAAAGCTAATTAGATTTAAAAAAATATTTAGGTTTTAAAAAAATATATTTGGCTTTTGATTTCTGTTTTTTAGAAATTAAAATTTTTATTTAAAAAAATAGATTTTTGACTTTTTTGTGACTATTATTTTTTAAAAAACAAACATTGAAACGAATTTTGTAGTAGAAGTGCTTTTTTCTTTCTTTAAAAAAGCAGTTTTCAGCACACACAAAAAATCATCCAAACAACTCCTGGGAATAAGAGGAGAAAACATATTGAGGAGGAAAGTGAGAAGGAGAAAGTTGTGGAAAGTATTAAAAGGAGAAAGGTTTATAAAGGGAAAGCTCAATCTTCTGCTAATTAAATTGGACGATGTGAATTCGGGTGCAACGCTAGGGCTTAAATGGGTCAGGTCGGGTCAAGTTTTTGTGCCGACTCGACTCAACTCGATTTTTATAGGTCAGGTATTTTGACCCGACCCACTTTAATTTGATCCAAGTCAGGTCTGACTTGGTTTGAATTTTTTTGAACTAGTTCATAACCGGGTCGGATTTGACCTGACTTGGTTTCTGACCTGACCCGTTTTTGACTTGGTTTCATCACAAATTTTATCGAAATTTCTACGTTGCGAAAGACGAAAGTTTCATCACAAAATTATTTTTTCGTCGGAATACTTTTTGTCGAAAAGCGACGGAATTTTTTCTCTAATGAAAATTTTTACAAAAATAAATTTTAGTTTCCGTCAAAAGTTTTGACGAAAATGATTCCTCCGTCAAATGTTTTAAATGAAAAATGAATTCCGTCAAGAATTTTGACGAAATGTTTTTCGTTCAAAATTTCGATGGGAATGTGTTCTGACGAAAATTTTGACGGAAATTGTTTTGAGAGAAATATTTTATTCGAAACTTTCGACGAAATTTAGATTCTGTAAAGAATTTTGACAGAATATTTTTTTCGTCAAAATTTTTTATTGAAATATTTTTTGTCAAAAAATTTTACCAAAGTTTTTGACAAAAATGTGTTCTGTTGAAAATTTGGATGGAAAAATTTTTTATCAAAAAATTTGATGAAAATTTTCGATGAAAATTTGTTTCGGTTAAAATTTCAACGAATATTTTTTTTTGTCAAAAAATTTAACGAAAATATTTTCGTCGAAAACTTTCGCAGATATTTGAATTCTGTAAAGAATTTTGATGAAATTTTTCTCCGTCAAAAAAATTCGATGGAAATGTGTTTCGTCGAAATTTTTGATGAATATGATTTTTTGTGAAATATTTTAAAGAAATTTAGATTCCGTAAAACATTTGACAAATAAATTTTTCCGTCAATTTTTTTTACTGAAAGTTTATTAGTCACAAATTTTGATGAAAATATTTTTCGTCAAATTCTTTTGCAAAAAATTTTGGTGAAAATATTTTTCGTAAAATTTTTTGACGTAATTGTTTTACCTTAACTTTTTTTTTTAATGGAATTGTGATTTTTTTTTCTTTTTTTTCACATAATGGGTGTGGGTCAAGTTTTGGGTCAATGGATCTTTATTAAAATAAGTTAGGTTTAAAACTGATCCAAATAAAAATGAGTCAATATTTAAACCATTTCAAACAAAATAAGTATTTATGGATCAGGTCAAGATCAGATCAAAGACAGAGCAAGTAAACCAATTTTTTTCACACCCCTATCCACTGCATGGACATTTGTACACCAAAACTGATGCATTAGGGGATCAATTGCACTTATTTATGTGCGCAACTAATTTTATAGATAGTTGTTTTATAGATAGACGTCTAATGTTTGTTTTGGTGGTCAACCAGTTGTGCCCAATGCCATGCGCAATTGGTTGCATTAATTTTATAGATAGTTGCCGAATTATTTTGTTTTCGTATTTTTTATTAAAATTAAATTTTTAAAAAATTTCCCTACTTTTTTGTGTGACCAACTTTCTTTAATTACACGTTCCTAATAAAACGTCGATATCATTTGGAAACTTGTCTTTCGATTAGATATTAAATTATTTTAATGTTTTTAAGCAGAATAGTTTTCCTCACGGACTGTTTTGCGGGTGGGCCATACTAGTGATTCGTAATTGGTCCTGATAGATTCATCCTTCATTGATTATGTTCCCTGTTAAAGGTTACATTTGAAGATTAGGAAAAACATTAATATTTTTGTTATTTAATAATTTGTTAGTATATTGTTAAAAAATATATTTCTTAAATGTTAATTCTGATAGTCAATTTTTTTAATAATTAACAAGTGGATAAAATAAAATAATTTTGCGTAGTGGCATTTTGTTTCAGATTAGTGGGGGGAGGTCAAAGCAAAATTCGATTTGGCAAAGAACTGCAGCGCGGACGCGCAGTGCGGACGCTATTTGAATCGTAGACGTTACTACTTCTCATGCCATTTAAATAAGGAAAATATTACTCTCATTTTACATGGGGTAGTTATCTCCTTTTCTCTCACTTCGAAAATTGTACCCTTTTTTTTTTCTTTTTCTTTTTTTCTTTTAAATAGCGAGCCCTACTTGAGTTCTCTCTGTAACATGAGAGAAC